GTCGCACTAGCGGGCGAGGCTGTGGCCATCGCCCCCACCGCGTTATCGGAAACTGCCAAAAAGGAGACAGCCCTTAACAATGAAGAGGAGGAGGTATTGCCGACGTTGACACAGGGGGCTGAGGAAGGGAGTGGGGTACTCACCGAGCGTACAAAGGAGCTGGTCTATGAGTTTATCGCCGATTTGCGCTCGTGGATTCACCGCGCGGCGGTCTTCGCAGATGCACGGAAGCGGTATTTTCCACCCTCCTCACCACAACACGGGAGCCCCGTGATAAGTGATAATGTTGATCTGAGGGAGGGAAACAAACACGAGGCTGACTGGTGGACGACCGCAACTGATCGCCCGAGCACCACCGGAATTCAGCCTCCGCAAATAGATGTCGTTGTGATTCATTTTCAAGAGATCAGTGGTGCTGATCGCAATAAGGAGTTTGGCGACTTCTTTGCAGAAGCAATTTCGACAAGGTTATTGCCGGAAGCGGGGTGGACGAGTGGGTTATTGTTTCACTACGGTGATCCCAACACCACGGAGGATCTGGACACAGGAAAGGAGAAGTGCCTATTCACAGGAGTAGGCAGCATCGTCTTTCTCGCACCGCGGATGTGCCCGATCTCGAGCCTACTCCTCATCCCCCATCGTATTTACATCCCAGTGCTTGACGACCCCTGCTCCTACGGCGGGAGCCCCCTACGGGTGTTTCACGGCGCGACTTTCAGCTCCGCCCCGCGCTCGCGAAAAGGTTTTCTCTTCCTCTCCCTACGCCTGGGGACGCAGGTGGTGAACTTCTGCAACGTCGACCTTTTCCCTGATGTTGACAACACCAAGGCCATCGCGAGCAGCCCGAGTCGCTACGCCCGGCGTCGTCTGCAGGCCTGTCTGGAGGCCACCACGGAGAGCCTCCCACTCTGTGCCCGCGAGGAGCCCTTTTTCCTCTTTGGGGACTTCAACACGCGGTTAGACGGGTCTCACCTCGTGCAACAGCTCCAACAAGGGGGGGAAAGGGGGGACCTTCGCATGGAGCTTCGGACGGGACCGAGGATGCTGCGCTGCCCGGACGG